GTTTACTTTTTTAACTGTAAGGCGGTTTCTTGTAATTTGGCTCTTGGCAGCACAATAAAAAAATTTTAAACCTACTGATGCATATTTTTTTTAATGTTTGTATTTATTACTTCCCTGAAGTGGTCCTTGAGGCATTAGTTTTTATCTTGATATTATTTTTCCCTTGAAGTAAGAATTCGTGTCATCAAGCTGACCTTAGTCCAGTACAATTGAGGAAAACTATAGGAAAAGAATAGTTACTTCAGCAACTATTCCTTCAGTTAGGGAAAGTTCTGAATTTTACACGGAAGAACCTTCACGTTAGAGGGGTTTGTGGAATCCCAGATAGTTTCAGCACATAGTAAATAAAAATCTCTCAAAGTTAGGCCTCCGCCATGCCATCTGGTCTAATCACAACTATCACGCAGAGTCACAAATAATCATATGGGGCTGTGGTATGAGCTTAATGGCCCTCCTATAGGTCCTATAGAAGGTCTGTAGAATCAGAGACCATGCTTAAACTCTCCTTTTCTGTTTTGTTTTTTTTTACTTGTTTATTTTTGATACATAATAACATGGAGCGAGGAGAACAACAGCAACAAGAGGGCCAGAAATCTCAGCTAAGTTTTCTCATGCCAAAAAGAAATGAAGCTTAGCTTTGTCACAATTAAAACACAGAAAAGCAAAAACGTATGTATGTTTAAAAAAAAAAAACTATACTCAACAAAACCAAAGGTCTGTCTAAGCTGGTACGTGGTCTCCAACTGTGACCCGTAGTGGATACGTAGGAAAGCGTGTAAAAAGAGGAAATGATGGTTTCTTTCCAGCAATTTGCATTTCAAGGACTTCCTGAGCCATAGAGAACACCCATATTAGCCCACAATGTCCTTTCTTCTATTAATTTGTAAAATAATTGAATTGATGGAAAGTTCTGGTTATCTGTAGCACCTTGAGGCAAGGAATTTCTCAGCTTAACTACATGATGTGTGGAAAAACTGCCTCCTTTTCTTGCTTTGACTGTACTCCCTTAATGGTTTCATTTGGTATCCCCTACTTTCAGCATTTAGAGGAGTGGATCAGCATCTATATGCCACCCATTAATTTACAGACCTCCATCTTCTCTCTGTTTTGTCTTCTCTTTTCTGTGCTGTAGAGTCCTAGGCTTCTTGTATGAGAGCCATTCCATCCATACCTTTTGGTCATCCTTGCTCTTCATTGTATCACTTCCCATGCTATTACATCCTTTCAAGATCAACGGCAGAAGGACTGAAAATGTCCACATTGTTTAAACATGCTGCACCCTGGACATAGCCTTTTATATACTGGCTTGACTGCTACTGACCACCGAGTCAGTGTTCTCACAGAGGTAGCTGTAATAATCGAAAATGCCCAAGTAGTAGTAGTAGTAATGAAGCCCATCACTGACTTTGACTAGGACAGGTCAGCGGTTTTGTTTTGTTTTCCCCTCTCACATGCATCCCTTTATTTATGGATGCTGAATTTCATCCATATTTTATATAATGATTCAATATCATAATATATTGAAATTCTCACAGCCAGCCCTTACTTTTACTGCTCTGAATAACTTACTACCTTTTGTTTCTTTGCTATTCCCTCTCCTGTTCACATCCTTTCATGTGCTTAAGAGCATGTCCTCAAGTGTAGAGAATACCTGCTGGACTCTAGTGGTAACCCATAAAGAGGAGACCCAGTATTCACACCTCTCCCAGGTGAACAGATGCAGAAACCTAAATTCAGGGGTTTGATATCATTTTATTAAGTAGTCCTTTTTATACCTTCATCACATTTTAGCCCTATGGACTCCAGCAAACTTTTTACTCAAGATATAATCCAGAAAGGGGTTTACTATGGTATTTTGACTTTTGCAAGTTGTTTCTTAAATTCTTGATTTGCCTTGCTATATTTTTAGATTTAACCTGCTGGAGACTATGTACTGATTTCCTCATTTGGATGCAGCTCTACTGTCTGAAAGATGTCTGTTTCTGTCCAGTAATTTCCTTTCGCTTGCTAGTTAACTATTCCAGCTTTTTTGCTCTGAGAGGTCATATGTCTTCCAGAATAGTGTCTTTAAATATTCTTCACCCTGCCCGCAAACATTCCACTATTTCCTCAGGTCGTGCATGTGTAGGAAAAAAAAAAAATTTACGTACGTAGTAACGGGCAGTGCATGCTTTTACTGCTAAAAAAATGGATTATTATAAACAGTATTGTGAAAATACGTCATCACCAGTAACTTAACTAGGATGTTAGGAAGCAGGTACAAACCAAAGAACAACATTATGCCAATGTGTAAATCCATGGTGCACCCATGTGTGAACAGTGAAAGTAGTCCTGGTCTCCCTCACACTATTCACAGTATCAGAAAGGATCGTATCTGGAATACCTACATAGACTAGGGAGCGTCAGCTTGGAAAAGCAGTAACTGCATGTTACAGGATAAATCTTTAAATGTCTTTAAATGTCTGTGCGGCATGGAGAAGCTGAACAAGGGATGGATTTTCCACTTGCTGTCTCTTTCAAAATAGCAAGTAGGAAGTATGAAAAGAAACTTAAGATCTTGTATTTGCTTTGAGTCTTCTTCAAGCGGAGAAGTTTCTTGCCAGGTACTACTGGGGATGCCAAAAGTTTACAGCGGATCAAAGAAGTTCTAGATTAAAAAAAGCCTGTCATAAGCTATTGTACAAATAGATGTCACATAAAAGACAGAAAAGGACTGGAAGGGGAGTGACGATGTGCTAATAAAAACCAAGTATTTCCAAAAGTTCATTTCATGCTTGTGGATGGCCAAATTCTGAAAATAACCCGAAACCCACGCATCCCCAGCTTACCAGGTTACAATGAAATTACAGCAAACATTCCTCCTTTCCCTTCCCTCCCTTTTCCCCAGTGAACTGCCCCGTTGTTCAGAAGCACTGCGTTTAGGCCTCAGGCCCACAGCCATCACCTTCCTTGGAGAGAAACCCCAGTTCTCCAGAAACGATGCTTTTCATTGTCGAAGCTTAAATCCGCAAACGCATCTCTCCGCTTTCTCTAGCGGTGGTAAAATTAAGCAGCGACTCTCCAGTTTTTACAGAAGCACGGCGGTATCCTTTGAAATGCCTGTTTCCAAGGCGTCTTTGTTAGCGGCAGCAGCACCTCCGGGACCGGTCTTCCCCCTTCGCAGCAAGTCTCCACGCCGCCGCCACAGGGCAGGCTGCG